TCCCGCGCCTCGCTCAGCCAGTGAGCGGGAACCGGTCTGTATGTGGGATCCGAACCCTCGGACGGGAGCGCCGCCGCGCTTCCCAAGCGGCGCACTATCCAGTGCGCCACCGGGCCAGCCCATGTACCTGATTTTTAAAAACAGAATGTTTTATAGAAAAAGACCATGGAAATAATTTCTAGTTCAACTTTCAAACTTTTATGATGCTACTTATACCACAACCTAGTACACATGCAATAGATATGTAGAACTGCAACTAAAGTTTTGTGAGCAGCACCCTTACTGTGTACAGTTTCTCTGATTTAGTTGGTTCTGTTTTAATTTTGTTTAAACATGTTTGTTAGGGATGAATTAAAGTAACTGCAGTATCCTTCATGAGGTCACTGCTTGCACTTGAAAAGGTGAATGATTTTCTAGAGGAAGAGGTTAGCTCCAAGGGATTAAACTGAGAAGAGCCAAACTAGTGTCATGGTGTGATTAAAATCAGCCTTTGGAGAAGGACAGACTTGGGCTCAAATCCTTACTCTGCCACTTGCTGGTCATTGGACCAGGGCAGGCTGGTTGGCATTCTTGGGTCTCAGCCTTCTATAAAATAGAAGTGACACTCCATGCTTCAGGGTTACAAGGATTATATGAAAGAATGCGTGGAGTAAAGTAAGCATTCAATACACAGCAGTTGTTATTAGCCATTATTATTTGTTTCAGGATTTAATGGAGTTTCTTTGACTTCTATCCCAGTGTTCTTTGTACAGATTGTAGGCCCTACTGTGATAGGAGTTATGGAACAGCAGCGTTAAGTAACAGACCAGGTGGATGGGAATTGCTTATTTGATCTGCTCACCCTTCAGGATTTGTTTAGGTAACTGCTGGGGTCTGTGCCTGCAAACTTTGCTGGTTTGTTACAGGAGTGGGAACTGTCTAAAATTGTCTGGTAGTCACAATGCATTCAATGGCAGAAGAGTTGGTCTTCTTGTGGTTTGTGGGAAGGAGGGTAAAGCTAAAGTGTGTGAATATGTGTGTGTGTGTGCATGTAAGTGTAAAATCAGCTCAGGGAAGGCCAGAGGACATATTCTCCTGTGAGTCTTCACTCCTCCTCTCAAAGTTTCACTTTTAAAATCTATCCTCTCTTCCTCCCCCGCTCCTTCCTTCCCTTCCTCTCTTTCTTTCTCTCCCTAAAGAATGACCAGCTTTTATATTTTTAGATAACAGTCTGTTCATAAAAGGAATTGAAGCAAATTTGAACATAAAATATAAACATTTAATAAAAAATTAAATTCATATAAAATTCTATCATCAAGAGAAACCCATTTACTGACATTTGGTCTTTTTTTCTTTCAGTCTTTTTCATGCATTTGAAAAAAGGTGGCAATAATACTGCACATTCAACTACCTTTTTAATGAAATAAAAAGCTGAACTGGTTCGATAGTTGTAGAACAGTAAGATGGGAGAAGAGAGAAGGGACACTTTGTTGGAAGGGAGAGACAGTGATCTCTTATGGTCTCTGAGACCAAACGGTGGCCTTCAATTTAATCTCTCTTCTCAAGCATTCTGGAACAAGAAAGAATTTGGCTTTAAAACCCTTCCCTACTTTCTGCTGTTTCTCCTTTGTCTGGCATGCCCTCCTGAGGTCAGAAGAACAGGTCTTTTATGGGTTTTATGCTACTGAAATTAATATCTCATTAGATTGCTGGTAGAGTTGCTATTTTTTCATGGAATGTGAAAGCTGAATTGTTTCTAATAGTTCTACTAAATATATATACAGTCATGCATTGCCTAATGGTGGGATATGTATATGATAGTTCTGAGAAATGCGTCATTAGGCGATTTCATTGTTGTGCAAAATTGTATCATGAAAGGGAATAACAACGAATTTTCCTATTTACACTCGCCTCTAGTTGCATGAGCATGGGCTCTCTAATTATGTTACTAGTCATCCCATGCCTCACTTTTCTCATCTGTTAAACGGGGATTAGAATAATATTGCTCCCGGGCCGGCCCGGTGGCGCACTGGAGAGTGCACCGCTTGGGAGTGCGGCGGCGCTCCCGCTGAGGGTTCGGATCCCATGTGGAGACCGGTTCCCGCTCACTGGCTGAGCGCGGTGCAGGCACAACACCGAGGGTTGCGATCCCGTTACCGGTCAGTAAAAAAGACAAAAAGGGAAAAAAAAAAAGAATAACACTGCTCCCACAATGTTATGAAAACTAAACTACAGGTAGGGATTGTGCCTGGCACTTAGTAAGCACTCAGTGAGTGTTAGCTAACTGTTATTAACTATTGTTTTGCCATGGGGATTAATTAATTAGGGTAGAAATTCCAAACACCCAATTCTCAGAAGAAGATGTCCACTCACTTGTAAACAATGAATGTTTTTATTTGCCATGGGGATGGGTGGGAATCACTTAAAAATGCAACACATCTAAAGTAGACGACACCCTTTTTACTTGGGTTCAGATCTAATGTGTCAGATGCTTGGCTTTCTATGTTAAGGTCTTAGCCACCTTTGAGACGGTCACCTGTAGATAAGCTAGGTACTCCTCCTCAACATATTTTGTTGTAGGTTTATTTATACCAGCATTAGCTCCATTATAATCTTATGGGACCACTGTTGTTGACTGAAAATTCGTTATGTGGTGCATGGATGTGTACTAGTCTGTGCTTTTCATCTGCTTCAGGTTCCTCAATCTGTGATCCCACCCAGTTGCTGAGGAAAACCCAAGTATGATGCAAAAAGTAACCAACCCTCTATTGCAGTACCTGGACCAGAGGTGCTTGCTAGAAGTGGTGACCTAACGTAAAGCCAATCTGTTTTCTCTTTTCCATGCAGATTTTGAAGCCAGCTTCATAAGGCTATTGGACAAAATAACTAATGGTTCTCGAATTGAAATAAACCAAACAGGTAAGCTCTTTTTCTCTACATTCCTGAAAGTACCTGCATTTACCAACTAAGCATTCCTCTGTTTCTCACTCTTTTCAATGGTATAAATACTGTGTTCAAAACTTTACGAATTATTTTGTGTAATATAAGCCATCATTAAAATAGAATGTTTGTGGGGGTACCCTTTGGAATTATATGAGGAAACTATGGAAATTATAATTAAAGCTTATCATTCTGAATCATTAAAAAAATATTGTGTTTAGATAGACCCAGTTTCCTGTATCTGATACAATTTTTCAGAGATGTACATGAAATCTCCCAAGTTAAGGGGCATACACTTGATTTAAGGAAATGTAGGAGAATATTTCAGATCATTAAGCAAACACCTCTTTTTTTTTTTAAACAGTAAACATATTTTATACCCAACATTTACATAAAACTTTTCATAGTCTTATTATGTCACTGCATTAGATTCTTACAATAAATTCTATATGTGCTGAATTCTATATTATTTTTTATTTTTCTCTCTTAAAATAAGTTTATACATGTATACAAAAAAGTGAAAATCCCTTTACCTGTTTTCTCTTTCATTCCCTTCTCCAGGGGTAGCCACTGTCACAGCATTTGCTTATGTGCACTTACGTAATTCCTACCATCAACAGGGTCATGCTCTTCATGTTGTTGTGCAGCCAGCATTTTTACACAAGCACAAATGTCTCAGATAACTTTCCCTGCAGGTACATGCAGGTCTACCTCAGTATTTCTTTGGGCTGTAGTATAGTGTTCCGTTGCATAGATTCTCCCTACTGATAAATGTTTAGGTTGTTCCTAGCTTTTTTGTTTTTGTTTTGCTATTAGAATTTTTATCTACCTGTCAAGAAGGCGATGGCAAACATCCTTTGGCTGATCCATGAACTCTGTACCTTTGCTCACATATTTTACAAAGGAATTTCTGACCTTTCCCATACATTGGCTCTCTTAAGAAAGAAGACAAGCTTAGGTTCATATGTGGTCCTGCGCCATGTGAGATCTATAGCTGCATTCAGCCCTACCTAATGGAGAACAGGTTTCAGGCTTGAGATGTTCAGATGTCGTTTGCCAGCTGTGATTCCCTTAGTTTTCCTTGGCTTGTTTACTTTGAAATTGCTGGAGATGGTTTCAGCAACTTTTATTGGTTATTCAGGGGGCAGATAATTTTTTCTTGTCATATTTGTTTTGAGGAGTAAGACATTTGCATGATCCTGCTCCCCAACCCCTTGTCATCCTGTTTTTCTCCCATCAGAGTAGAAGCCTTCATTCTGATGATCTGGTTAATTTGGTTGATTTATAGGTATAAACAGATAAAATTGAAGGATTTAGTGGTTATATAGGTTTTTTTTTTTTTTTTTAAGCTTTTTACCTAAAGGATGGTTTGTGACTCTCTTAATACTATTTAGAGTAACTGACCCAGAAACCTTTCCTTTGAAAACCCTTAAGTCATTTTGATCAGAATATGATCCTGATTGTGATTGTTTGGATTTTGGTTTTAATATAGTAAAACCTAAATTTATTTTATGAAACTTCCAGAACTGTTTTCCATTTGAGTGACTAACATATCTCCTTCCTCTAATGTAAAATTTATTTTTGGTAAATTGTATCAGAAGACATTGCAAAAGATTTTGAGCAGCAGAAATAACCTTGTTCACACATTTGTAACCCTTTAAATCATTTAGGATATTTTACTTTGTTTTTCCTTTGATATGTAAATCCAGTAAGAAATTTTTGGGGTGATATAAATATGTAAAAAAGTGGATAAAGATAATGAGTTTCTACTAAAGCAATAAAATAATTTTAGATATTTCCATTTATTAATATTAAATTAAAATAGCTACTGTTAATGGCATTTGAGTGCCATAAAGTATTTGCCTTTTCTAGGCATCTTGTTTGGTGAGTGAGTTCTATGAGAACTCTCATTTCAAGGGGCCCAGGGGGTGCTGGTTGCTGGTGTGATGCCTTAAGAAATTTATTTGTAACTCCTGTCCCCCGCCCACAATCAGCACAGTCTGTGTGTGTGCTGTTTGGAGACTAGGGTGCCTGTTAGGATCTCTCCTCTGTGCCCTGCCATGACTTTGGCAGCTCAGATGGCTCAGAGAGGGGTTTAATTTATTACTGTTTATTAAGTTACACTCACAGTTTATTATTGTTACAGGGGCCTGACAGTAGTGAGTCAGCTTTTGGAGTGAAATGTGGGCTCTGAGGAATGGCATTTTGAACTCCCTTGGATGCCCTTGTCAGATTTTCCCCTTGGGACTCACTGCCTTCGTTGCCTTGTGACACTTAATTTTTTTTCCTGCTTAATGTGGCTCTTTTTCCTCTGGTTTAAGGAACGACCTTATATTATCAGCCTGGCCTTTTGTATGGTGGATCTGTGGAACATGACTGTAGTGTCCTTCGTGGTATTGGCTATTACTTGGAGAGTCTTCTTTGCCTGGCTCCTTTTATGAAGCACCCATTAAAAATAGTTCTGCGAGGAGTGACCAATGACCAGGTTGACCCTTCGGTGAGTATTGAGAACAAACTATGGTGAGATTTTTATTTTGTCTATTGTCACAACCCAACTTTTGAGAAAAAAGTTCATTTTAAAGTACAGTTTTATTTTCAAGTGTAATTCTTTTGCTTTTTAACTTCAGGTTTAGAGGATAATCACTCCAGGAGGCAGATGAACCAAGACTGTAATCATCAAATTCAGGATGATTGTTAACAGTCATCAAGGTGCCTTTCATTGTTAGGTCTAAGCACTTTCAAAACAGATGCTTGCAGTCTCAGCATACTTGACATGAAATATGGCTCTGTTGGCTGAAGTGTGTGAGAGTGGAGTTTTCATAAGGTCATTTGATAGCTGGGGCTGGAGGAGAACAGACCAAAATTTTAGGCAGGAAGTAACATCTCCTTGACAATGCCATAATCTTGACTTATCCAGGCTTCAACCGGAAACTTAAGGACTTTCTTCTGAGAAGAGTGCAGATTTAGAGAAAGGGCATAGGGGCAGGGAAAGAGTGCATGAGCTTTGACAGTTTATGGGTACCAGCAAGCTTCTTATTAAGCATGCTAATTTTCCTGTGTCTATGGGGAGAATGGTCTAATATCCAGCTAAAATTGTCATTGTGATCACTACATTTGTCTTAGTGCCAATCTAGGATGGGTTTGGGGTGTGTGCATGTATTTAGAGAAGTCCTGTCCAGGCCTGCGTTAGACATCTCACAGGGAGAGAAGAATTCCCTACTTTGAGTACTCTGCTATTTGGAGAAAGTGCCTTAAAGCTGATGACCATGAAGTCCTGACTGAGGAGGCATGCTTTTCTTTACCACTACGGACATAGGCTACAACCAGTGATTGGGCAGCTTCTGAGGCCAAATGTGAAGTGTTTAGCTTTCCTAACCATGGAGGACCAATTAGGTGGTGCAGTGAGCCCCAAAGTGAAGACAGCTGGTATTCACCGAGACACCTACTAGGGTATAAACATGGTGCTGTGGATTGATTGAATTGTGTCCCCCAAAGTCCATGTATTAGAAGCTTAATTCCCACTGTAATTGTTGAGGGCGGGAAGTCCTATTATGGTAATTGAAAGGTGGGGCCTTGAAGAGGTGAGTAGGTTGACGGTTTATTGGTGGTTTTGGGCATGGTTCTGAGGGCTTTAAAAGGAAGGCACATGAGCAGCTGTCTCTCTCTCTGCTCTGCCACTTTCTTCCATGTGAGACCCATGTGTTGCTGTAAAGCCGCCATCAAGAAGACCTTCACCAGATGTGTTCCCTGGACTTTGGACTTCTCAGCCTCTGAAACTGTAAGCAATAAATTTCATTTTCTTACAAATTACCTAGTTCAAGGCATTTTGTTATAAGCAACAGAAACAGACTAATACACATGGTTAATATGTTCTTGGGTAGTAACAGACTTATTCCTCAATTCTTGGAAATCCACCTGCATAAGTTCTTTTCCTAGGATGCTAAGTATAGTGCACGATCTGAAATTCTTAGTTGTAAAGGAATGTTGTGTAAGCTATTTAGAATTTTTAACTGATTTAAGTGATTGCTTTTTTCCTACATTTTCTGGAAGGTTCGAGGAAATGGGCCTATATTAGTCTGCTTCTGTTGCTTGTAACTGAATACCCAGAACTTGGTGATTTGTAAAGGACTGAAATTTATTTCTTAAAATTTTGGAGGCTGGGAAGTCCAAAGTTTAGAGAACACATCTGATGAGGGCCTTCTTCTGTGTAGGAACTCTCTACAGCAGTGCAAGGTTTCACATGGCAACAGTGGGCTAAGCAAGAGAGTTAACCTCACTTTTAAGGCCATCAGACTCTCACCCACTGCTCTATGAATGGGTCAGTCCACTCACCAGGGCACAGTCCTCACAATCTAATAACTTCTTAAAGGCCCCCTTTTTCAAATGCCTTAATTGGATTTCCCACCCTTTTAACACGGTTACAATGGAGATCAAGTTTCCAATACATGAACTTTTGGGGGACACATTTGACCCATAACATTCTGCCCCTGGCCCCCAAAGTTCATGTCCTTTTCACAAGTAAATACGTTCATTCTGTCCCCAAAGTCTAACTTGTTTTGGCTCAAATGTCCAAAGTCTCATCTGTGAAATCAAACAAGTTATCTACTTCCAAGATACAATGCAGGGACAGGCATAAGACAGAAATTCTCATTCCAAAATGGATAAATGAGCCAAGAGGAAGGAGTAACAGGTCCCAAACAAGTCCAAAACCTAGCAAGGCAGGCATTAAATCTCAAAGCTGTTGAATAATCTCCCTTGACTCTATGTTTGGTATCCTCTGCACACTGGCACAGGTTTTGGACCTCTAAGTCCTCAGGCAGCCCCACTCCTGTGGCTTTCCTGAGCTCAGCCCATCCTTCAACTCTCCTAGGCTGGTATTCCACTCTGGTAGCTCTACAATTCTGGAATCTCCATGGCAGACCCACTCCCACAGCTCTAGTAGGCATGACTCTATGGGGGTTCTCTGCTGCATCTTCGACCCCACATTTCCACTCAGCATTGCTCTAGTGAAGGCTGTCTGTGGTGACTGTGCCCCTGTGACAAATCTCTTCCTGGGCTCCCAGGCTTTTCCATACATCCTTTGAAGTTGAGCTTCCACAGCTCTTCCATTCTGCAAGCCTCCTGACTTAACACCATGTGGACACCACCAGGTTTTCTGGCCTGTATCTTCCAAAGCTGTGGGTTCAGCAGCACCTGGGGCCAATTTAGCCATGGCTGGGGCAGATGGGACAGCCAGGGTACAGAGAGCAGCATCCTGAGGTCGCCCTGGGCAGTGAGCCCATGGAGGGCTCCCTGGGCCTATTCCCCAAAACCATTCTGTCTCCCTAGGCCTCTGGGTCTGTGATGAGAGGGTACACCTCAAGGATCTCTGAAATGCCTTCAGGGTCTTCTATTCTCTTGATAATCCATTCCTTCTGTCCTGATCTCCTTTGTAAACAGTAGCTAGGCCATCCCTGTTGTTTTCTCTTCCAAACCACATTTTTTCACTCTTTAAGTGGCCAGGCTGAGAATTTTCCAATTTTTTACCCTCTGCCTCCTTTTAATTGTAAATTCTGGTGTTAAGTCATGCCTTCGCTGCCATAACTCAGTGTAGGCTGTTACAAGTGGCCATGTTCTAAGCTGCCTAAATGCTTTGCTGCTTAGAAATTTCTTCCACCCAATGCTCTGGTTCATTACCTTTAAGTTCCACATTCCATAGAGCCTTGGGGCATGAACAGAATGTAGCCAAGTTCTTTGCAACTCTGTAACCAGGGTGACTCTTACTCCAGTTTCTAATAAGCTCTTCCTCCTTTCCATCTGAGACCTCTTCAGAATGGCCATTACTGCCCATATTTCTATCAGTATTCTGATCAACACTATTTAAGCAATCTCTAGGAAGTCCCAAACTTTCCCCAATCTTCTAAGCCCTCACCATCATCTAGGCTTTTTCTAGCCTGTTTCTCCAAGTTCTTCTAGCCTCTACCTATTACCCAGTTCCAAAGCCACTTCCACATTTTCAGGTGTTTGTTATGAACAACACCCTACTCTTGGTACCAATTTTCTTTACTAGTCTGTCTCTGTTGCTTATAACAGAATACCTGAAACTGGGTAATGTATAAAGAAAAGAGGTTTATTTCTTACAGTTTTGGAAGCTGGGAAGTCCACAGTCGAGTGGGTGCATCTGGTAAGGGCCTTCTTCTTGGTGAGGGCTCTCTCTGTACAGAGTCCCACAGCGACTAGGGTGTTACCTGGGGAGAAATGGGCTGAGCAAGAGAGTTAGCCTCACTTTTAAAGGCATTAGAACCTTGCCCGTTACTACATGAATGGATCAATCCATTCACCAGGGCACAGTCCTTACAATCTAATAACCTCTTAAAGGCCTCATCTTCAAATACTGTAGTTGGATTTCCTACCGTCTTAATTCTGTTACAATGAAAATCAAGTTTCTAGTACATGAATTTTTGAGGGACCTGTTTGACTCATAGCAGGGCCCTTTGGTTAAAAGTGTGAGAGGAGGCATTTATCGTTTTAGATTGCATGGGGGTAAGGTGCCTGAAATAATGGGAAAGGGTCTCGAAGTGTACTGGAGACTTTAGCACTGCGTGTCCTGGTTTTGTTTTCTTTTTTTAATAATTACTAATGATCTTAAAAGCTGTTCTTGCTAGCAGTATTAAAAAAAAGTTTTGTATATTAACAGTGACAAAGACATATCTTTTATTAGATACTGTAAAACTATCTGCTTTTGTCAGCTGCATGTATAAAATGACTTTGGTTGGTTCTTAGTTCCAGCCCAGCATAAAATAAATACACCTAATCCTGGATAAAGAGTAATTTTTTCGGTCTGTGGCTTCTTCATTCAAAGCTTTCTCTTTTCTTTGTGGTTTCCTCATCAATTCACATCTCCATCTACTCTCTGTATATAAGGATGAATACCATCCCTCAAAGAACTCCCAGTCCCATGGAGTGGACAGCTGTGAACCCAGTCAGGGAGACTGCAAGGCTGATAGAGTGGTGCTTAAGTGCTGAGTTTCCAGAGGAGGAAAAACCACAGAATCAGTCTGAGTTTTAGAAGGAAGGTAATTCTGGAGGTCAAGGGAAGGATGAATTGGAGAAGTGATGGACTAGTTTGGACTTTATAGAGATAGAAGTGTAAAGGAATGACAGAGGCTTCATAACTTAAAAACTAATTGGATGTGGGATGGGAGGATGGGACCATAAATGACTCCATGATTTTTTTCCTGGTTGACTTGGAAGGTAATGATCAGAAAGAGTTTGACACAGGGAAGAGAAAAATTGTGGGAAGATAATGGGTGAGGTGTTTGATTTTGGTACTGTTCCCTGGGATGCTGGCAACATAGCCCCATGTGGATGTCCACTTGGCAGCTGGAAATTATTGTCTGTAGCCTCAGGAAGAAGGTCATCAGGATTTTACCTCTGACAGTTAAATCCCCAGGAATATGAGATTGATCAGTGCTGAGGGTGAACACTGGTGGCTTTTTTGGCTGAATGTGTCCTACAAGTGTTTTCCTTTGGGCTCTACAATGTGGTGGTGGTGGTGGTGGTGGTGATATGTGGGGTGTGGGGGTGTGTGTATATCTGAATTTGTTGTTCATGTTTAAAACCTCAGATTTTACATTGTAGTAGGGCAGTGTGGCAGCAGTAGATGGCTGTTCCTCCACAACAGCCATCAGTTGGAGCTGAGGAGCAGCTGCCCTCTTTGGATAAGGCATGAGCTCTCTAGCTGGTCTCAGCTAATCTCATTATTCATTTAAATTCTCTTTCTGGCATTAGAGTTTTACCCAAGGGACTGAGAATGGAAGAAGGAAATGAGCATTTAAGGTGTGAGTTGGGGAAGAGGAGCTAAAGACGAGTGACTGTAGAGATAGAAGTATTTGGAGAAGCCAAGCAGGAGTTGAATCCTAAGAAGCTGGGGATGATCCACAGAGTAGCTCTTTGCAGGAGCTGAGTTAGTATTGGGCAGTGAGAAGTTGTATTGACCTTTGAGAGGGCAGAGTCATTGGAGTATAAGGACAGGCACAGACTGAGGAATAAGTAGGAAATAGAGTTATGGAAAATTAGGAGATTCTTCCAGAAGATTAGGTAGGATGACTCCTTAAGAGCTGAGGCTGGGAATTTTTTTTAGGAAAGGGGAAACTTGAGCTTGCTTATGGGCTGAAAAGAAGCTGTAATGGAAAAAGAAAGAATTAAAAGTGCTGATAGCTCAGTTGGTTAGATCGTGGTGTTATAACACCAAGGTCAAGTGTTCAGATCCCCATACCAGCTGTCAAATAAATAAATAAAAGGGCTGAGGGTATTTAATAAAGCTAATCAGCCAATTGTCAAATAAATAAATAGATAAAAGGGCTGAGGGTATTTAATAAGGCTAACTCCTGCAGAAGTCCATAGAAGATAAGGATTGAAAGCAGAAGTGATGGGATGTACCTTATAAAGAGTTAGGGAGATGTTTTTCCTTAGAGGTAAGAGGATAGGATATGGGGAGAAATTTTGAGAAGAAAAGTTCCAGGACATCTCTGAATCTTAATGATGTGGCACCAGAACCCCCAGTAAATATTTATTGGTGCCAACAAGCTGGTCACACAGAGGGTGAAGTTTCCATTCTTTCCCAGCTCCCTTCTGGAAAGGGAAAAGAAGCAGAATAATGTCTGCCGTGTGCTGGGCACTGTTCTATGTGTACATATGTACGTATGTGGGTATCCGTATTTATGTAATTCTTCTACCAGCCCCTTGAGGTAGTGTTCTTATCACTGTCTTAGACAAGGTAACTGGAGAGCAGGTTTTCTTCCCCTTTCCTATCTGGCAGGAATCTGATCGCATTTCTACCTGGTGATTGACTGCACTGTAAGGGTAATGCCTTTCTCCCTGAGGTACCACTTGGGCCAGATCTTTGCCCCCGTCTCTCTGACCACAGGGTGACAGCTTGGTTTCTCTTAAGCAGAACTTGCAGGCTACCCTCACTTTACTAAAACTAGAGTGTGCAGAGCTGGAGGAGACTTTAGAGAGCCCACCCTACCCCTCATTTTATATAGGAGCAAACCGTGGCCCTGGGAGATAGGGAAGTATCCAGGGTCTTACAGTCTAGTGAGGGGCAGAGTGGTACTCCAGCCCTCATCTGCTTTTCTAGCCCTTGTCCCACTACACCAAGTTGCCTGCCCTCAGTGTCACATGGAGAGTGATTAGGTGACTGGACTACACCTGGATTATGCTCGGGCTTCTGGCCAACATTCAAAGAAAATTTGACTTCATTCTCTGTGACTTAGGGAATAGTTAGGACGAGCCAGAGGGCTGCTGTTTTCTCATCTATCTTCTCCCCAGGAGAGCTGGTGGCTGCCCAGTTCCGGGGTAACCTGCATCCTTGCGTCCCTCACTTTTTCAGAATCTGGCTTGGCCCCAGCTGCTCTTGATTCTAGCCTAGACTGAATTCTTCTTGGTTCTGATGATCCCAAATGTATATATTAAGTTTTTGGAAGTGTTTAGCTTTAATATTTAATTAAAATGAGCTCATCTTTAATGGATTTTCCTAGCCACTTCCCCTGGCCCCCTGATCCATTCTGAACACGTTCCTACATCTTACAGGTCATTTCTACCTCTGGTAATTTCCTGATATCAGGATATTTAATTGGGGCCTCTTAGCCTATTGGAGTTGGTGGCAACTTGGAGACAGCCAGGCTTGAGCCCCTTACCTTAGAGACAAGGAAATTCAGATAGCTGTGGTTTTCTTGTCTGAGGCCACACAGCTAAATGAGACAGAGCCAGGACCAGGATAGGGCTTTTCCCTACACCCTCCACTCATGCTGCCTGCCCACTGTCCCCTGACAGGGTCACCTTCCCAGCAACCCCCCAGACCAAAAGGGGAACGTCTCTTGTTCTGGGAGCAAGCAAGGGAGTAGTTGTCTTTCCCGTGTTACGGTTGAGGCACCATTCACTGACTTGTCATATACACATGATTTGAATGTTCCCCCATATACTCAATGAAGGTCCACAAATGAAGAAGAAAGACCCCAGGCTTCCTGGGAGCTCTGAGTGGGAAGGAGGTAACAGCAACACTCTACAAAGTCTGGCCATTCATTGTGGGTGTTGTAGTAATTGCAGTTCTCGGGTGTGTAGCTTCACGTAGTTTGAAGCTGTCACTCCCCCAGCTTCCCCCAACTTTCACACAGAATTACCACCTGCATCAGGATTCTTCAGTTAGCCGTTGAACAGTTCATTTGGTTTGCTTTGACTCGGAATGCTACCAGCTCTAAAAATTAAACAACCATATTGGAAAAAGATTATTAGAAAAGGCTGATATTTTCTTTCATAGTGTTTACACCCATAAGAATGAGCAGAGGTCCCCGTTTGTTTTCTGTGTGAGTACAGAAGTTTTTTCATGATTTTTGCATGATGCATGTGATACTCATGATGACTGTAAGGTAGGCGTAGGTCTCCATGTTGTAAGAGAGGAAAGTGGGGCTCAGAAGCCCAATGGCTTATAAAATCACAGCCTTACTCATGGGCATAACCAGCCCATGCCCTCAGCTGTAAGCCAGCATGCTTTCTATTTACCAGACTGTATCTGCTACCTGGTTGCTAAGCCTTACCTGCTTCTTGGTTTCTCTTCTTTCTGTCTGCTCAGGATTTGATTAAACTTTTGTTTTTTCTGAAATAATTCATAGGTTGATGTTCTTAAGGCAACAGCACTCCCTCTATTGAAACAGTTTGGGATTGATGGTGAATCATTCGAGCTAAAGGTAAGAATGTATGAGCTGTTGGCTGTATGTGTCTGTGAAAACATTTTTTATCAACTCAATGGAAGAGCTGTGTAACTCTGTGTGTGTGTCACATTTGAAGTCACCATTTTATAGAAGACCCACAAGGCTCCTGAACCAAACACTACAGACTTTGAACCAAAAGGAACCTTTTAGTAATGACAGTAGTAGCCAGTTATGTTGCACTTGCTTTGAGGTAGGCGCTGTTGTAAGCATTTTACATGTACTCATATTAACTCCTTTTTTCCTCATAACAACTCCAGCCATGTCACTCACTGTTGAGTAGTGGAGGTAGAATTCTGACCAAATTGCCTCTCTGATCTAAATGATCTAAATGTAATTTATGTCCAGGGGCTCCTAACTTGGATGCCACAGAGAATTTTCATTATTTCTAAAGCCTAGTAGAAGTGATTTAAGCATCTGTTTGCTCTTTCAAGGAATTATGTCAATCCATTGTGGTAACACTGGATATCTTAAGCTGTTTAGCATCTCTACTTTTCAAATTAATGTTTTTAAACAGGAGAAATGACTTCATTTTTATTTAATGTAGAGTTTTGATAGATCGGTTATTTGCATAGGAGGATAAAAAGGGGTTCCTGATGTTTAAGAAATGGGATGAGCTGATGAAATAGGCCAGCTCCTCATATTAAGGGTGAAGAAACAGCTTGTGGAGGTGACGCAACCTGCTCAGTGCTGCATAGATGAGAGGCATAGCCACTCTGGTCATTCACTTTGACTTTGATGGGCTCCTGAGTGTATGCCTTGTTGGTGTGAACATAGGTGCTGTTGAAGGAATTGACGAGTTGAATATGAAAAAGTTAATCTGCCTTGCGAGGAAGTGTGAACCGCTCCGGGTTGGGGGGCAGGGTAATCACTGCTTTGCTACGTCCTCGCATCGTCCTTCTTGCCCTGTGTGCAGGTTGTGCGTCGAGGGATGCCTCCTGGAGGAGGCGGCGAAGTGATTTTCTCATGTCCTGTAAAGAAGGTCCTGATGCCCATTCAGCTCACAGATCCAGGAAAAATCAAACGCATCCGAGGAATGGCGTATCCTTTGCATTTGATTTAGATTTCTTGTTTTTTTCTTTCCTCACTAAGAAAAATGACTAAGAGCTTTACTTCTTCCCAGGGTTATTTACATTTTAGGCAACAATTTTAGAAAAGTCTTAACAGTGAAATTGTAATTGTTGGCTGAGATATGATGTTTTATCATCTGCCTCACAATGACTAGATTGATTGATTCGTTCTTTTTTCTTTTTTTCAGTTGGTACTTAAGCAAATGGCTCTGAATGTCATACTCTCCTGAGGGCTTTGGTTTTGGGGACATGCGTGCACTGTAGTCCCTCCCTCAGAGAGTTCATCATCTGATGAAGGAAACAAATATGCAAACACATAGTTCTGGTATAACATGTAAAATGATACAGAAGTATGTGCAGTGGGCTGGGGGAGCTAAGAGTAGAGAATGGCCAGTTTTATATAGAAGCTGTAAGAGGGCTGTAATAATAATGGTCAGTATCTACTGTTAACTTCTTACTCTGCGTGTACTTCAAGAATCACTTTCTATACCTTATTTTTAAGCCTCAGAATGATTCTCTGAGTTCACTTACATCCTGTTTTGCAGATGGGGAAACTGAGGCTTCAAAAGCTTAAGGAATTTGCCATAATACCACGCTATTAATAACGGCAGAGCTAGGATTTGATCCCCTTTTGTCTGACTGTGGAGCCCAGGCATTTAACCTCTGCTTTTTTGTATAAAAAGGAGAGGGCATTTGAACTGAGCCTTGAAGATCAGAGGCTGTGGAGTGGAGCAAGAAAGGAGGAGTGCTTCAGGCAGAAAAGTGGGCCCGTGCAGAGGTAGCAGTGCAGTGTTTCTGGGGAGTGGCAAGCAGTGCCGTGCGGCTAGAATCCAGGTCGGTCAGTGGCATTTGATGGTAGAAGATGGGACATGAAGATGCGCAGGAGCCAGCAAAAAGCTGAAGGTAGCTGGAGTCACCTACTGTGTAGAATGCAAAGAGTGGAGGGTGGAACCCTGAGAGGCCACCAGAACTTGAAAGTAAGAGCGAAGTAAAGAGGAAAGAGTTGGGAGGAGACTAAAGAAAGCACAGCTTCCTGGAAGCTCAGGTCAGCACCTTACAGGGCCCCAAGGAGTCAGCATTAGGGTGGAGAAAGCTGAGGGACTCAGCAGCAGACCACCACTGAGGCCCGTGGGAAGCGCTCCTTCCAGAGAGTGGTGGGGACGGAGCCCAGGTGACCAATTCAAGGTTGTGGAGTGAAGGGGGGGGGGAAATGGTGACGAGTTGGGGCCACTCTTTCCAGAATCCTGGCAGGAAAGGGAAGGAGGAGGAAAGATGAGGTGGTAACTTGAAGAAAGAGTGGAGAAGACTCTCTCCATTTTAAAAAACAGTTGGTAATGTTTGAGTGTTTTTGTAGGTTTGGGTAAAAAGATTTAAGTAGTGAAGAGGGAGACTCATGGGTGATTAAAGGCCCTGGTGCCCAGCAACCCTACATCTGGGTATTTATCCAAAGGAAAGGAAATCAATATGTCGAGATACCTGCACTCCTATGTTCATTGCAGCTTTATTCACAATAGCCAGGATATGGAATCAACCCAAGTACCCATCAGTAGATGAATGGATAAAGAAAATGTGGTGTAGCTACACAATGGAATACTATTCATTCATAAAAAAGAATGAAATCCTGTCATTTGCAGCAACATGGATAAGCTTGGAGGATATTATATTAAGTGAAATAAGCCAGGAACAGAAAGAGAAGTACTGCATGTTCTCATTCATATGCCAAAGCTGAGAAAGTCGATCATGTAGAAGTAGAGAGTAGAATGGTGGTTACCAGAGACTGGAAGGTGGGGGGATAGTGAGAGGTTGGTTAAGAGATACAAAATTACAGCTAGATAGAAGGAATAAGATCTAGTATTCTATAGCATTGTAGGGTGACTATAATTAACAATTTATTGTATACTTTCAGTTAGGTAGAAAAGAGGATTTTGAATGTTCCCAACGCAAAGAAATGATAGTGTTTGAGGTGAAAAAAATGCAAACTAAACTATAGTGACAGAAAGCAAAGCAGTGGCTGTGGCGGTGGGGTGGGGAGGGAGGGATTACAAAGTGACACAATAATGAAGAAACTTTGGGAGTATTGAATATGTTCATTATCTTGATTGTGGTGGTGGTTTCATGTGTATATACAGATGTCGAAACTTATCAAATTGTACCCTTTAAATATATGCAATTTACTGTGTATCAATTATATCTTAATAAAGCTGTCTAGAAGGAAAAAATAATAAGAGTCTGTTGTAGACAGAAAAAAGAAAGCCCAGGGACTGGAGTCAACAGATGTGGTACTGACGCTGGCTCTGCTGCTCACTGCAGGTAACATTTTGGCCCCAAGCCGTGATTAACTCATTAGTCATGCATAGGGCCTGTTACATCTACTGCATGGGGCTGTAATGCAGGTTAAATGAGGCAGTAGATGCACAGTACGAGGCCCTACGCTGGTGTGTAAGTAAGCATTTGGTAAAAGTAGCTGCTGTTATTTTTTTTTTCTTAATCGAGAGGGTATAGATTCAAGTCTGTAGGCATATGAGAAGGATGGCTCAAGACAGAGCTGTTTGGAGATGAGTGGAAGAGGGTTGGGATGAGTTTTCAGTGTTGACTGAGTTAGGATGGAGGATAAGGGGATGGGAAGGGGCAGGATAAAGGGAATGTGATGAGGATGTGCTTTCATAGTGGGCCGTAGTAACTGGAGATGAGAAAGAGGCTGTAGGACAGCTGTAAGGGCTTGGTTGAAGTTGAAATTTTATCATGGTGCCTGCTGCATGGCTGCGTAGTTGTGTCTAGCAAGCAGCAGTTGGCAACCTACAGGAAGGAGTAGAGAAGCCAGGGGCCAGTTTCATCCAGGGATGGAAGCGGGTTGACAGGTGGGTGAGTAGCACAGGGGGACGGGTTAGAGAGAGCTGGAGTATTGGTGAGTGAGTTGTTGACGTGATTGCCATGCTCTCCTTACTGAGTTACACAGTCGTGGCTCACTGACCTGGAGAAAGCAGGAGGTCAAGGGGTTGGAAACCTTCTCAGGTTGAAATATCAGGTCTAGTGCAAGTATAGGTATGTGTGCTATGTAGAACAAGAAATTGTGTTTAGGGAATTCTGTTTTGGGGATTCAGATATTAAAAGTGGCTAATTCTAGGTGCTTAAAGGATCTGGGTGATGACAGGAATTGGAGGCCAGGGAAGTGGATGGGTTCGGCCTGACTGTCCTGGTAGGAGAATGACGGGAGGTTGACCAGGATGCCTGCTGCTCGGGGCAGGGTGGCTACTTAAAGTCAAGTTCTATATTTCTCAGGAGGTTGGGGATGGTCTTACTTGGAGGAAAAGAGATGTGGGGTGGACTGACTTTTCAGAGGGCTTGATTAGTTTTTACAGTAAGTGGTAAAGGACATGCAGTTGGGCAGGCTGCACAGCCACTGGATGGAGAGGCAACTGTTGAGATAAACTTGATCAAACTTGGGGTGCTGTCTAAAGTTCTCGGTAGGGATCATCAAGAGCAGAGGAATGTATAACAAAGCTTCCTTGGGTTATGGTCTGTTCTCTGCCTGGCTGTCCTGGAGCCCACCTAAGGGCCAAACCTTGTATGTACGAGGAGTGATTGGGCATGTTAAGGAGAAATGGCTCCTGTCCTGGGAGCCCCTAGCTTGATGCATGGTTACATAAACCAGGTGACTTCCTGAGGTGATGTTCTACTCTTGTATGTTGTGATTCTGAGGAGCTGGAACAAGGTTATAAAGAAATGGAAATGCAGTGCTGCTAGGGTGTGTGTGTGTGTATGTTTGTGTGTGTTTTGAATTGAAATATGCCTTCTCTATTTGATCCTTGTCAGTTCCTTACAGGTCAATCTTTTTCTTAACAGGCACATTGTATTTCACCATATAAACAACCCAGAATCAAACCTGATGATGGCTATTGAGTTTTCTATTTTTCACTGTTGCCAAAAGTGCTGTAGTTAATGACCTTGTACATGAAATCCTGTACACTTTCAGGACTATTTTAGGATTGTTTAGTTTTTTTTTTTTTTTCCTCCTCATTTTAAGTGTGTTTCCTTGATGGTGTATTGTGGCAGCAAACTCTGCTTGGAGTCCAGTCCGCTGAAAATGAGATTTCTGACAGTGTGCTCTGTTTGTTTTGACAGTCTTGTCATAGCAGCATGGGTTTCTTAGAGGATATCAGAAAGGGGTCCTCCCTGTACTCTCTGTACCGAGTGTGCAAAAATCTCATGAGTAGTCCTTTGATGATGATGCTGGGAAATGGGAAAGGCTGCAGGATTTTACAGAGGAGAACATAAAAGCTAGAAGAGCTGTGGTGCCTGAGCACCTTGGGTGTAACTATGTTCCTCCCTGGCTTCTCCCTCTGGTGTTCTTTGAACCTTCCCTGTATGGAATCTGAGCCAGGAAGATACTTGTGAGGTCCCAAGTCCCTCTCCTTCCTTGGGGCAAGGGATAAGATGCCTAAATCATCTCTAGTATATTTTGACTTGTATAGGCTTCCTCTCACCTCCCCAGGAAAGTCCCCACAGCACCCTTGCTCAGATCCCTGTGTGTAAACCAAAATTCCAGCCACTGGTCTGCAGAGCTGCCCACTTAACAAACACCTCAAAGGAACGTGGGTTGGAACTGAGATCACCTTCTTTGCCAGGTTTGGAGCTTGGGAAAAAAACTGTCTTTGGAAAAACTTTAGTTGGTTTTATGGTTATTTACTTGCAAGGCTGGTTGACTGTTGGACTGAGCTTGGAGGTTGTTTTCCTTACAGGAGGGCTCAAGTTGTGTGCATTTGTGGTTTTAACCAAGTTACCCCCAAAGTTCATCTTTTCCCTCTTGCATTCTTCATGATGACCCGCCAGCCAGGACCTGGGAGGGAGACGTTGGTTGTTCCTGCCAGCAGCTGGGACTAGACAGTAGTTACCTTTTATTTAATGCCACCCACTCTGATTCTCCCCCACTGCCTGATGTGGGATGGCAAAAAACTGTTTTAGTTATGTGGT